CGTGTCTAGAACATGCCCAGTGTGGCAGCAGGAGCCGTAGGGCCTTATGGAGAGGAGCCATGGCCCATGCCTCAGACGCCCACCGACTTGATGATGAAGCGAAAACAGTATGTCCTTTAGAGCCACATGGATGTGACGATGAGGTGAGGTGGGATACACGTGTGTGTAAGGATGGAGCACAAGAGGCCTGCTGGTGTGCCCAGAGGAACGCCAGGAGGCACAGGCGGGTCACTAGCCAGCGAGCGCCTTCCACACAGCGTGGCACATGTCAGGTGCCCACAGCTAGACCGAGGCGCAGTGGCCAGCCCGCTGACCCTCTGCCTCTTCTGGGTTTGCTCTCTGGAACAACACCCAGTTTCAGACTAGCGGTTCTCTACAGAACCCCTATAGCTAATTTAGGGTAAGACATATTTTTATGTGTAAATTTATTTTATAAATTCAGAATTATATTAATATTTATTTATCAGAAGGCCTTACTATACTATTACTGCTACTACCTGTTTGTATGTGTGACAGACTGTAGCTTCCCCACACATTCTCCTCTCTCCCTGGGACAGGGGTGCACTTCCATCCACAGCCCCGGGTCTTGCCAAGCAGCTCCTCCTGGTGGGAGGGTTGACATCCCCTTCCCAGTGGGTGACACCAGCCCTGGCCATGTGACTCGCTCTGCCCAGTGGGTTTTCAGCAGGAGTGATGCCAGACAGTTTCAAGCAGACACATCAAGAACCACTGTTTGGTTCTATCACCTCTCTCACTCCTTCTCCCCTCTACATTGACAATGATGCGCCCCGGTAAGGGCTACTCCTTCTGTCCAGGACGTGAAGGAAGAGAGTGTGGAAGAGCCTAAAGCGAACCCACAGCTAAGCACGAACACGAACATGGAACTCAGGTTTGCTGTTGAAGCGACTGATGTTTCGGCTCATTTGTTACTACAGCATAACTTAGCAAAAGCTGACTAACAAGATTTTTATGTTATGTTGACCTTCTACTAGACCGATCGACGTACCTTAAACAGCAGAAAACAGGTCTTAGTCACTGCTTTTCCCTGGCAATCGCGATATGACACACATAAGCGCGCTGGCACATAGGTAGCACTGTTTTATTTCAGTGAGTTCCCTGATGCTGTCCACTGCAGGGGTTACGTAAGTGTCCCGTGGCGAGAGAGTCTCCCTGTTCTTCTTAGGAAATGCACCCTCAAGTATTTAGAGGTAAAGGGGCACGATGTCTGCAACTTACTCTTAAATTGGGAAATCTGGAGAAAAAAATTATACACACACATACACATATACACAGAGAGAAAAAAAATAAAGCAAGAGGGGCAAAATGTAAACAATGGGTAAATTTGAGTAAAAGTTATACCACAAAAAAAAAAAAAAAAAAAAAAAAAAAAAAAGAACCACTGTTTGGTTCTATCACCTCTCTCACTCTTCTCCCTCTACCATGACAATGATGCGCCCGGTAAGGGCTACTCCTTCTGTCCAGGACGTGGAAGGAAGAGAGTGTGGAAAAGAGCTAAAGCGAACCCACAGCTAGCACAGACCACGAACATGGAACTCAGGTTTGCTGTTGTAAGCGACTGATGTTTCGGGCTCATTTGTTACTACAGCATAACTTAGCAAAAGCTGACTAACAGAATGGTTGACTTCCTACTAGACCATGAAGTACTTAACAGCAGAAAAAGGTCTTAGTCACTGTCTTTTCCCTGGCATGATATGACACACATATAGCCCTGGCACATAGTAGATGTTCAGTAAATAGCTGCTGAATGACAAAGGCAGAAGGAAGCGTGGCACTATTCACTCTGCTGCTCTGAACCTCTGTTCCAACCTCCAGGACTTACTGATCTGCCTGCACAAGGACTGCAGGTGCTGGAGCTCAGTGTTCAGGATGTTCATCCTGAGCTATCCTTCACCCACACCTGCTCCCAGCATCCTCTCTTTAAGCTCCACACTCAAGACTCAGCTTCCTAGCCTTCCTGCTCACCCTGCCTATCACTGGAGTTGGAGTCTAGTCTGTTTCCCAGATGCCCAGAGCACCTGCTCTCTAGGTGGCCTTGCCATGACAAGGAACCCCAATGGACTGCAATCCTCGGAACTCTGCTTCCTTGGCTGGGCTGCAGCACCCCCTTCTCCTTTACAGGCCTGGCTGGCAATCTGTGGCAGCAGGCCAGCCTCCTCCCTGGCACCACCAAAAAATAAAAATAAGAAAACAGTACTTGTCCGTACCAGTGAAAATCCAGGTTTCAAGGGCACAGACCTGCTTTTTATCTTACAGAACAATATGTAGCATTTAAATGGAGCTCAAAAGGCTATAATTCCATTTTTTGTAAAGCTCAGAACAGGTTATTTAGACATACATACATATATGGTAAAAGCTCCTTTAAAAGGGAGAGAAACATGGCAAATTCCATCAGGACAGGGGTTGCCTCCCGAGGGGAGGCAGGGCTGGCCAGACAGGAGCCCAGAGGACACATCACAAGAATAGGTGATGTTTAATTTCATAAGGTGCATGTTAGTTTCCAAGGCTTTTGTTTTGCTACTAGGTTTGACAGCTTCTGTAACACAGTAATACGCTTTTACATGTCAAATACAGCAGTACATGCATTTTTTACATTAAGTATCAAATACTTTATGATAAAATCTAAAACAATGTGTACTGGCTTCCACGGAGGCGACACTCAAGCTAGAACCAAGCTCCTGGGAAAAGCACGTGAGTGAGCAGATCAGGCGTTGGGGCACCCTTTGGGAAGGGTTGCGAGTGTGAAGCTCTGGTCTGAGCCCCAAACCACTGCTGGCCAGAGGCATCCTGAGGACCTGCCACTCGGGCATCTCAGGAATGTCCCCTTCCACAGAACTTCCATAATCCTCACCCCTCAGTTTACCCTCCCAGTCACTTTCCAGCATCCTCTCTCCCCCAGGTGCCTACCAGGGAAGAACAGATACTGAAGCCAAATGCTGATCGCCATTCTAGCTTTACACGGAGGGGCCAGGTCACTCCAAGGACAAGGCTACCTGTTCAGCAGGGCTGTGCAACCCTGGTTGCTTCCTTGATTTCAGGTTTCTAGCCCCCAGAACTATGAGACAATACATTTCTGTTGTTTAAGATCCAGTGTGTAGTACTTTGCTATGGCAGCCTAGCAAGCGAAAACATCTTCTATTCAGGTT